GGGGTGGGGGCTGGGAGCCTTGTGGATGGTCGCAGGGGATTTCCAGTCATTCTTTGCTGACATTTGTCTCTCTGGCTTCCAGGGGCTTTAAGAGGCAGCTTCCCCTTCAATCCAGTGCAGGGACAGTCCGGGAAGGGGTCAGGGAGACTCTTGCCTCAGGGCACGCCTGTGGGATGAGATGTAGACTGCCCCAAATGAAGACAAATGTCCCTCAATAAAGTGCCATTCCCCAGGGCCCCCCTTGCTGTCTGCTGTCAGCCACGGTTTAGGGCTCCCGAGGTCAAGGTCTTCCTCCCAGCCCCCAGGCTACTTAGCTTTGCACAGAGAATAGCCAGTGGGGGCCTTGGCCTCCTCCTCCTGCTGCCAAATGTGCCTCAGAGACCAGGCACTGGGCCAGAGACAGAGCCAGCGGAGCCAGAGGAGGCGCGGTGCAAATCATTCTGTCCTCCCTGCGGGAAAGACATCTCCCTGAGCCAGACCGTGTCTCTGTCTGCAGTGTCTGCTCAGGAAGGGACCTTCGTTCATGTGGGCCCTTCCCAGGGCACCTGGAAGAACCTGCCTTCCAGAGCAGTCAGTCACATGTCCCTGTGACTTCCCACCAGGAGGCCCGTCCTGAGTGCTACTCAGCTTACCTGCTCCAACAAGGCATTAGCCCAGTTAAAATATCAAACTCCCATTCCCCAGCAATGAGAGGGTTAATAACAGGTGCCTCAGGACCCTGTCCCAGCCTACTTCTCATCTGACTGGCCAGTGGGGAGGACAGCTTCCCAAAGCATTAAGTGGCCAGTCAGTGACCTATGGGTGAACTTGAGAGACTTCACTGTCAAATATCCTTTCCACGGAGGCTTCAAATAACCCTGCCACGATTTCATTGTTTTTGGACGGAGCTTTGGCCTCCCCTGTGGTCCTGTTGTCAAATGTCTTTTGCATCTTAGTTTTTGCAGATCTTGTGCCCTGGGCACGGGCATGCACAAGATGCAAGGGATGCTTTGCCCACCTGCCCTCCCGCTCCCCAACACTGGCCTGTCGTTGTGGCCATTTGTCTGGGGACAGTCTGGGTGCCTGAGGCTGGAGTCTCACAGAAGAGCAGAATGGGCCAACCTGGATCTCAGAGCCTTGGACAATGTGTCTTGGGACCTCTGGAAGCTTCCACACCTCTGTCCAGGTTTTGGCCATGGGCATCTGTGGATGACCCTGTTGAGAGCAATCCCTGGCTCCTGTCACCTTCCCGCATATACATTCTGGGAAAGGTGAACAAAAGGACCCTCAACTTATCACTGCTTAAGGTTTCCTGAGCTGGAGAATATAAAACTGGCCCCACCCAGATCCTTAGGAGAATTTTCCTTTGGAGCCAGGCAAAGCCACAGGTCATTTCAGGTCTGGAATGCACCATTTTCAGAAGCCAGCTCAGGAATCCCTGTCATCCTAGGTTTCTTAGTGGGCACGTGGCATCTGATGGGTAAGGGGGCTTAGCTCCTAGTGGCTGCCTGGGATCCTTCCATGCTTTGTGCCCTTGGGCCAATTGCTGGACTTTTGTGTAATAAGAATAATAAAGGTACAAACATCCTAATGGTGTTCTGAGATTAAATAAGGTAATGCATATATATTTAACATTTGCTTAATTGCTCAATATCAGTTATTACTTTGTTTTTTCCTTCTTTCCTCTTTTCCTTTCTCTTTCTAAAATTCTCGCTGTTCTTCTGAATTCAATCATCCCACAGGCGTGCCCTGAGGCAAGAGTCTCCCTGACCCCTTCCCGGACTGTCCCTGCACTGGATTAAAGGGGAAGCTGCCTCTTAAAGCCCCTCGGACCGAAAACTGAAAAATAAATATTAAAAAATTCAAAAAAAAAAAAAAAAGGGCTGGGGATGTGGCTCAAGTGGTAGCACGCTCGCCTGGCATGCGTGCGACCCGGGTTCGATCCTCAGCACCACATACAAACAAAGATGTTGTGTCCGCCGAAAACTAAAAAATAAATATTAAAAAATTAAAAAAAAAAAAAGCCCCTTGGAGCCAGAGAGACAAATAAGTTTGGTTGTGGAAGAAATCATAGATAGTTTGGGTTTGATTAGTCAAGGGATAGGGCAGTGATGGCTACTACAGAAACAGTCCTAGGTCTTTCAACTGAGGGGATTTAATATAGGGAACTGACCACACAGGTGATGTATTGAGGCACTGAGAAACCATCCAGGTGAGGCAATACAGAGATGCCCAGTAGCAGGAAGCTGCTGTTACCTTAGCAGGGAAAAGAGTGTGTTATTGGACCCGGCAGCCAGGTCCATTTGGCATGTGAGTAGACCATGCAGGGAGGGGCCATCTGGAAAGAGGTGGAGCCACAAGAGTCACTGATGTTGCTGGGTAGGTCACAAGAAACAGCAAGAGAGGAAGAAATACCTAGGCCTCTGCCCGTGTTTTAGTCAGCTTTTTTTTTGTCACGGTGACCAAAGCATTCAGCAAGAACAACTTAGAGGAGGAAAAGCTTATTTAGGGCTCAAGGTTTCAGAGGTCTCAGTCCGTGGAGGGTGACTCCATTGCTGTGGGCCTGAGGTGAGACAGAACAGCAGGAGGGAAGGGCCCAGTGGAGGAAAGCTGCTCAGCTCATGGAGGGGTCAGGAGAGAGGGAGAGAGAGAAAGAGAGAAAGTAAAAGAGAAAGAAGGGAAGGGAGGAAGGAAGAGGGGTGCCACAGGAAGAACACCCTTTCCAGAGCATGCCCCCAGTGACCAACTTCCTCCAGCTACACCCCACCTACCTAGAGTTACCACCCAGTCTGACCACTCAAGGATGGGATGACTAGGTTATAGCTGTTATCATCTAATCGTTTTTACCTCTAAATAGTCCTGCATTAATAGGAGCTTTTGGGGGACACCTCATATCCAAACCATAGTGCTTCTTCCTGTCCTCCAGTCTGCCTGTGCCTCCTTTGGGCTAAATCTCCCTGGAACCTGAGGGCAAGGCAATTGTGATTCCTTACAATCCAGGGTAGGCCAGGAGAAGAATGGGGAAGGAGGAGACCACCTGCTCACCATGTGACTGCTCTGAGGACCAGGCCTTGCTGAGGCCTGCTACCATGGCCCAAACTGGGTGACCTGAGGCCTTTGTCAATCTCATCAAGCTGAGTTCAGCCCCAGCAACAGATGACAGCTGTCTCATATTTATCCTGGAGTTCTGGGGAATGGCCTCCAGCCTGTAAGAATGCTGGATTTCTGGGCTGGGGATCTAGCTCAGTTGGGAGAGTGCTTGCCTCGCATGTACAAAGCCCTGGGTTCAATTCCCCAGCACTACCAAAAACCAAAAACCCCAAAACAACCCCCCTCCCAAACAAAACAAAAAAACTGCATTTCCTAGCTATTCCTGACCCATGAACTGCAAATGCCACCTTTGCCACCAAGTTGGTTGTGGTTGGGCTGTGTGCGCCAGGTTGGTGTTCAGTAGCTTCATTAATGGTTCCTTCAATCATGCTTCTGCTTCTTGGGAACATGAGGAAAATCAGCAGAGTGGTGGGGAGAAGACCTCAGACAAACCTTGAAACATTGGGCTAAGAGGTGCTGGGTTTTATACACGCTTCCCACCTGGAGCCCTGTCCCCCTGTGTCCTCTATACTGTGCCCATCTGTATCTTAATAAACATAAGATTTTATACTTCTGTGAGGGCTTGTGGGAAGATTCTGGACAGACGAGAATTCCAGATGGGCTGCCCTAGATCAGACCTTACTTGTTAGAAACTTCACTTAGCAAAGATCCCTGGGAAGTTGGGTTAATTTGGAAAGTGGGTTAATTTGTTTGGAGCCCAAATGAGAATAAAACAAAACGAAACAAAACAACATACTATAAAAAGTGGCTCTTTTCATGTCTGAAATGCTTGCGTTTTCTTTGTCAAAACTCTTATTTAGGTGTTGGACAATTCTTGGGTTCTTTAGCTTGATGAGAAGGGCCAGAGTGACTTGGGGCATTTCAGTGTTGATGGTTGTCTTGGGAATGCATGGGATGTCTGGCTTGAACAATCTTCTTCTTCTATGCTATTGTGCTGTCATGGTTTAAATGTGAGGTGTCCCCCAAAAACTCATGTGAGAGGGTTGGAGGAGAAATGATTAGATTACGAGAGGTGTGCCCTAATCAGTAGATTAGCCCACTATACAGATTAACTGGGTGGTAACTGTAGGCAGATAGGGTGTGGTTAGAGGAGGTGGGTCACTGGGGCATGCCTTTGGGGTTTATATTTTGTCCTCCGTGAACAGAGCACTCCCTCTCTGTCTCTGCTTCCTGGTGCCATGTCTTGAGCTGCTCTTCTCCTCCACACCCTTCTACCATAATGTTCTGCCTCATCTTGGGCCCACAGCAATGGAGTCAGCCATCTATGGACTGAGAACTCTGAAACTGTGAGTTCCAAAGAAACTTTTCTTCCTCTAATTGTTCTTGTTATGTCTTTTGGCTACAGTAGTGAAATAGTTGACTAAAATAGGTGGGGACAAGGCAGGGCTGAGTGAGCAGTTGTTAGTGGCTTTGACTGATTCTCTTTGGTCCCCGATAGTTACCCATGTTTTCTGTTTGGTTTTGGTACCAGGGATTGAACCCAGGGGTGCTTAATCACTGACCCATATCTCCAGTCTTTTTTACAATTTTCTTTAGAGGCAGGGTCTCGCTGAGATGCTTAGGGCCTCACTAAGTTGCTGAGGCTGGCTTTGAACTCGGGATCCTCCCGCCTCAGCCTCCTGAGTTGCTGGGATTACAGGTGTGCACCACTGTACTCGACATTACCCATATTTTAACCTAACTCAGACCCCATGTGAGATTGACAGATGGGACCAGAGACCTTGGACACAAAAGAGGAAGTCATCAGATCTCAGAATCACTGGGACAGATCTCAGGCCTTGATCCTCAGGCCACTTGTTCCTGGGTCTTAAGAAGGAAGATAAGCAGGCAGCAAGATTTCTTCTTGCTCATTTGTGGATAGAAGGAAGCTGCTAGGAGAGAGAAGTTCACCAAGCAAATGACTACATAAATAACTTTCCAGGGGGCCTATTTAAAATGCTCAGGGGAATAAATTGTTTTAAAGCATTTAAAAAATACCATTTACATACAATTAACATGTTGATTGCACAGCATTCTTATTAATTCATTATAGCAAGGACTTCCGCATAGCAAAACAGCCTTTCGATACTTAGCTTAGTTTGTGATATAGCATGAGCCAAGAAATTCTATATCTAATCACTGTATTGTATGCATAGATGTTAAATTTGGTCTTTATTAATTTGAACCTCATTTCTCAGTATCCACACTGTGCTATCTACAGATACACCCTTTGTCACACAGGTGCAATGAAAAAAAAATTATTTTATATTCTTTTAACCTAGGACTCCTGGTTCGTTATCACGTAAATGTCAAGGAGGGAGTGAGGCCCTTCAGGGTCATGATTTACTGTGTGAGAAATTCAGGTGCTATGGTTTAGCAGAAACCGTACCTTAGCTCAGGAGGATGGTAGGAGAAAAGCAGAAGTTATTGGATATGGAGAACTTTCATGAAGGGCACCAGGAAATGTGATCTTGATCTTGGGTCCACTAGAGAATAATGGAAGGCTTTGATTCGACATTGTGGTATAACAGAATTTTTTTTATGATTCTGGGCACTGATTAGGGCTCAGCTGGGTGGATCTTCTGCTGGTCCTGCTTGAGGTATCTTGAGTGGCTGAAGCCAATGGTGGATGGGACTGGAATGTCCAAGACACCTCATTCACCTATATGACCCATTCATTAGTGGGGATGGCTGGAAGGCTGCGGGCTTCCACGTGGTCTCTCCACACGACTAGCTGGGGCTACTTTGCATGGTGGTCAGATTCCAAGAGTGAGTTCCAGGAGAACAAGATGCATGTGCAAATTCAGCCTCTGCCTGTGTCACTCTTGCTAATGCTCCATTGGGCAAAGCAAGTCACATGATCAGGCCAGGGTCAACATGGGAGAGGACTACAGAAGATATCTTCTGTCCCGTGTTCCCTTCTTTCTTATCTGTTCATTTCTCCCACTCCTCCATGTCCCCATCAGAAGTAGCTGTGGAGAGAGGAGGACAGCACAGTGGTTAATGTTTGATGGCAGTGGTGTAGTCATTTCCCCCTAGCCACCCCGCCTCCTCTGCGTGCCTCTGGGACAAGATGTCCTATTTCTTAACTTATTCTCCCCCATGGAATGTGAACGGTTATACGATATACAGACAGAGCAGGCAGGATGGTTTTTTTTTTTTTTAAGATTCCGAGTCAGATGTTTTAATATTTCACTGAGCCACTGCAGAAAGCCCTTCATTATGGGATGGAAATGCTTGGAAAATGGCCTTCTAATTAATGTGAAATGAGAGAGTGCCCCTCAGAGCAAGGGGGCCTTGGCAGCTGTGAGGGTGATGTCAGTGTGCCAGCACTTCCTGGGCGGGGTGATTGGACAGGGCCGATCCCAGGATATATTTGCCTCCTGGAGCCCATTCAGCATAAATCCTGCCCCAGGGCCAGGCTGGAGACAGCAAATTGAGAACCTTCCACAGCTCGCTGAGTTACCGCTTCCCAGAAGTTGCTGAAGCCATTGATCTCGATCTTTTTAAATCATTAAATGATTTTGGCATTCAGACACGTGGCAGGTCTGTGCTTGGTGACCTGCACGAAGCAAGAACGGGTTCAATGGCAGAGCCTGGGCTCACACTTTCACTGGGCACAGGCTCAGTCACGTGGGTTGCATTACAGCGACCTTTCCACCAGCATGCAAGACTGCTCCTAAATAAGACACAAAATGACTCACTCAGCTGCCCTCCCTCTGTCCTCTGAGAGTCTCAGTAGAGCAGGGCATTTATGAGACCTTAAGAACAGCTCAAATCCTGCCACGAGAGCCTGGGAGACAGTCACTGGGTTATGTACATCTGTCTTAGTTGGTTCCCACACTGCATGCAGCAGTTGACAGAACTGTCTTAGAGTAAAGGGACTTAAAAAGCTTAAGCTTGGCCTGGGGTTAATAACAAACAATGATATTCTCTAATATTTATTGAGCACTTACTGTAGACCAGTACTGTGCCATGATCTTTACATTATTTTTGCATGTGACTGACAAGAAAACTATGAAATAGATACTATTATTATTCCCCTTTGTTATGGTGTGGATGTGAGGTGTCCCCCAAAACCTCATGTGTGACACTATGCCAGAAGGTTCAGAGGAGAAGTGATTGGGTTGTGAGAGCCTTACCCAATCAGAGAATTAATCCCCTAATGGGATTAACTGAGTGGTCACTGAAGGCAGGTAGGGTGTGCTGGAGGAGGTGGGCATTGGGGACGTACCTTTGGGGTACATACTTGTATCTGGCTAATGGAGTCTCTCTCTGTTTCCTGACCATGTGAGCTGCTTCCCTCTGCCACACTCTTCTGCCTGATGTCCTGCCTCATCTCTAGCCCCAAGGAATGGAGCCGTCTGTCTATGGACTGAGACCTCTGAAACCATGAGCCGTCAAATAAACTTTTCCTCCTCTACAGTTGTTTTTGTCAGGTCTTTTAGTCACAGCAACAAAAATCTGACTAAAACACCTTTATATGCTAAGGGTGATAAGTACTATGTCCCTGAGTTAGGCATTTTTAAAAGGTTTGCTGTTCTCTTGGCCAGGTGGCTTAGCTCTGTGCATCTTATGATGTTCAATTTAATCAACATCGATTGAGGACCTGAAAAATGTCAGTACTGGAGGAAGACAGGGCTAAAGGACAGAGAAAGGACTGAGTCTCTGTGCTGAGCATTTATAATTCAGGTGGGAAAGGAAAGGCTTTCAGAGGCTTCTGAACAGTCACCTGCACCAGGGGCAGCTTTTTCTATGTGGGGCTACATTGGAGGCAGTAGAGTATAGTGGGAAGGTGGTGAGTGCTGGTGTCTCTTCCGATTTGGTTTCAAACCTCAACTCTTCTATGTGCTTTGGGACAGTGTAATTAATCCTTCTGAGCCTCAGCTTCCTCATCTGTAAAATGGGATGATGAAACCTACCAAGAAGTACTACGGGTCAAGAGTCTAGCATCAAGTAGACACTCAAACCAGGCACGGTGGCGCACACCTGTAATCCCAGTGGCTCAGGAGGCTGAGGCAGGAGGATCTCAAATTTGAGGCCAGCTTCAGCAACTTAGTGAGGCACTGAGCAACTCAGTGAGACCGTGTCTCTAAATAAAATATAAGAAAGAGCTGGGGATGTGGCTCAGTGGTTAAGTGCTCCTGGGTTCAATCCCGGGTACAAAATCAAAAAGTAGACAGTCCACAATGTTCTTGTCAAGTGCGCACATTAAGGAAGGAAGCTGAGAGATGAGGGGTGTGAGTTACAAAGGGATTTCGGGAAGATCACAGAAGGGAGAGAGAGCTAGTAAAATGTATCCATTGTAGTTGAATTTGTGCCTGTTTTTTTCCCATACTCAAGTACACACGTACTGCACACTCAACACACACACACATGCATGCACACACACACACAGTCGTGTTCTCTGGGCTAGAGAGTTGGCAGAGAGTTTTGAGGCTGGGGAAGGAGGTCCAGAGCAACATGCCAGGGAAGTTGGGTAGCAGCACCCAGAAGTCAGCTGCAGCTCTTTTCTGAAAGGCGATGGCCCCAAGGTGTTCCTGAGGGTCCCTGGCAGTCCTAGGACATCCCCATGGATTGCCACCTTCATCGAGGGTACTTGGGAATGTGGGTGTGGGCAGGTTTGAGGGGATTTGCTGGAAGCTTCATGCCTAGACATGGCAGCTGGCCGGCTCCCATCAGTGCAGAGTTTTCCCCAGGTCACAGGGCAAAGCATGAGGGTGATGCGTCCCTCCCAGTGTGTCTCTGGGCCACAGCTGGAGTTACATTTCCTTCAAGAACCATTTAGTTGGGGGCGTGCTTGCTTTTGGAGGGATGGGCTGAATTTGACCCTTGTGGAGCAGGGACAAGGCTGGCCTGGCTGCCCATGGGGACCTGGGATGTCTATGCTGTGGCTACTTCACGGAGCCCCTCAAATGCTAGGTTGACGACTTTATATTTATTCAAGGAGAAACTGTGAGTCAGTGTCTTTGGGGTCTGTACAGAAAACAGAAATTGAATTTACATCAGCCAGAGCAAAACGTAGAATTGCTGCAGAGACTTTAAATGTCCAGCAAATAGCTTCAGATATAGCTTCAGGTGGATCTAGGGGTTCAAATGATAATTTTAGGGCTCGATTACTTCATTTCTTAGACAGTCTCAGGCTACATGGTGAGCAAGATGGCGGCTGGCAGCTGCAGGGCTTATTCTACCCTGGTGGGAAAAGAGAGGTCTTATCTCTGGGAGAAAAGTTTCAAGGAGGTCTCTGATTGGCCAATCTAGCATCAAGTGCCCAATGATTGTGCCCGAGTAGTGGAGTAGGCTGATTGGCCGGCCAGCCAGGGCTGGGTCAGAGTCTTGTGGATGGTGGTGGTGCTCAGATCCTTCAGTGGAATTGGTTGCCCACAAGAAAGAGGTTCTTTCACTAGAAGATGGGGTGCTTCTCAGACAAAAGCAAGTCCAAAGCAACAGTTACCTGTTAGTTACCAGTTACCAGTTGAGCCTTCCTAACTCTATTAGCAGAAGGGTGTTACCAAGGCAGCTCCAGATGCCTCTTCTGCAAGCAAATTTGCCTTTCAGATTGTCCCGTGGAGGTACCTGGGGCGCCAGCCAAGAAGGCCTGGCTCCCCTCTCCCCCTACGCCTACCGCCTCCTCTGTGCCCAGCTGCGTCCATTTATTTGGGCCATTTGGACGGGGAACAAGGGCTCTCCTTTGACTGTCTGCGGCATTCAGGACAGTCTCGTGCTCAGCCAAAGGGCTGTGCCTTGTCCAGATGTCCAGAGGGGCTGGTTTCATGTGTCTGACAAGGCCGCCTTTCTCGGCAGGAGGATCTGAAGGAGGGAGACGTCTGCAGCCTGGGCACGGGGTGATAAATGCCCCCTCTGGAATGCACAGATGAATTCTTAAAAAGGGGGAAAGAAAGACTTTCATCATTATTGCAAAGATCTGAAACAAGGGGGTTTTCTCATCCCAAACTGCAGGACGGGGGTGGAGGAGGGATGTTGGGGAAACAGTGGGTCGGGGTAGGGTGGCCGGGGCGGGTGACACAGACACTTGACTGTGAAACCTCGGGGAAAGCCCACCAGAGCAGCAACCTTTTTTCCGTCTCCAGCAGCCCAGGGGCCGAGGGCCGTTGGGGCCTGAGCTTGGCCTCCCGCTGTGTGTGCAGTTAACCAGCCCCGGAGAATGGGGGTTGTGTTTGCCTCGCTGTCCCACCCCTACCCCCTGCACCGCCCCAGAGCTGCCCCCCGAACAAATGGCATTGTATAGCTGGGGACAAAAACATCCCTTCATTCCCCATCCATGCCTGGGGACAAAAAGCTGAGTGTGGCTTGGTTTGCTGTGGTTTAGGAAGGATGGGGCTGCTGGGACACAGAAGGCTGGGATGCTAGAGGGTGCAAATGAGCTGTGGCCACATGAAGGGGTGGTGTCAGCCAGTGCCACCCAGCAAGGAGGGCAGTCCCTTCAATGTATTCATGGCGTCTACTCACTGTGGTGAGTTAAGCATGGGTTTGGGGATTAGAGAAACTGGGTTTCAAAATCTGTGTCAAAGGGCTGGGGAAATAGCTCAGTTGGTAGAGTGCTTGCTTCGCATGCACAAGGTCATGGGTTCAATTCCCAACACCATCCCCCTGCCCCCCCCCCCAAAAAAAAAAATCTGTGTCAAAGTCCTGGCTGGATGATTTATCATTTGTCTTCGCCAAGTCTTACTTTCCCCATCAGCAAAATGGAAATGACCATAGTATCTATAAGGTTGTCAAGAGGATCAAATCCACCCAGAGTAAGAAGCCTAGGTCTGGGTCGTGGGAAGTGCTTTGCTAATTAATAGGTAATATTGGTAGCCGTGTTCACTGTTAGACATTTTGTGGGTCTGGAATGTGAATTTGAGAGTCCCCCCGATGAACGAGTTGTATTCCAAAGTGAACTGGAAAGTGTGTTATCTGGACCCCAACACATAGTTCCCATAGAAACCCTGCTAAGAAAAATCTTGAG